ACGGAAAAACCCGATCCATGATTTACAGTACAGACCTCAAATCCAGTTAGTAAGAGGTATGTATTCCCCACATTTTCCTTGAAAAAGTTCTTAGAGCAATCAATTTAACACTTTCGAAGACACGTGCAAAAAGATAGTAAAGATACATACCAGAGCAGCCACATACACTCGGTACACAGGGTCCCCACACATCATGGACAACAGAGAACAGCAAGCTTCAAAGGCTGTCATGTTTTGTGAACTACTTCCTTCCATAAATATTGTGTTGATGTCTTTACTTAAACGGCGAAGAGCTGTCTCTCTCACATTCCATTCACGGGAAAACAAACAGCACACAAGATTTTCACCAAATGCCTACATGTATGAGGAAAAAAAAGAGATATGAGATTGCATGTATGCCAGAGGGGGTTTACGCCAGAGTGTTTCAGTTTTTCGTCAATTTTATATGGTCTAGTATGATGTCTTTGTGGGAGTGACATGTACATAGTTCTGTATTAAAGGACAATTTTATATGGTTTAGTATGATGTCTTTGTAAGAGTGACATGTACATAGTTCTGTAGTAAAAGACTATTTCAATGGCTGTATCTGACACTTTTTTCTGTTTCGAGTCTGAAGTAACATTTATAACATCAACCAGGAAAGAGAGGAGAATAGAGAAATATATGAACTAGGATATCATTATTTGGTCCAAGACCAAACGCAGTAAGGAGACAGTTAAAAAAAATTACCACAAAGAAATTGGGAGTGAATGACCAGAATATAAATGTAATTTCCTATTTGTAGAAGAAGAATCTAGCCAACTCAATCTGTTTCCCAATTACCTCAATCCATGGTTTGGCCAGTTCCACCTGTGCTGCTGGTACTGGGTTTGAGTGTGGTAGTGTGATTTCCTCAGGGCCTAAGGGTGCTGGTACACTGGGTAGTTCAGATCGTATACTGTGATCTGGAGATCTAGTGAAGACAAAAATTGTTACAGTGAGTACTTACAATGATGACAGTTATAATGAAAACATTTATAACAAATCTTATTCTAGAGAATTTATCTCTCTATATGTAAGTATCAGCTTTCTGTACTCTTTGAATTACATCCTATCAATCTATTTTTTGTGCTCAGAGAACAGTTGAATCAAAAAATATCCCATACTTGATATAATTTTTGCTTTTTCTCATCAACTTTGTTGTTGTGAATTTACTTATATTGTAAGGAGACAGTTCCTTTTTCATAAATCAAAGGAGTGAAAAGATTGATATAAGTAAAGCAGAACTCATTTTATTCAGTGTTCACGAAGGGCACAAACAAGGAAATAGAAAGTACTGCAGCCAAGAACAGTCATAAGCACTGTGGTACAATTGGGAAGGCTGATGTAACCAGGAGTCTTGCTACAAATGTCAGGCCACCCCTTTCTCCAGCTATATCATAAATTCTGTGCTGATGTTGTAGGACTTATGAAAACATATTACAGTGTAGCTGACTATCCTGAGGTGTTATGTCTCAAAAAACGAAAATAAAAATTGAAAGTGAAAACACTAGTGATACCTTTTAGGGCTACAGATATTTGAAGGTGATGACCAAATCTTGCGACAGAGTGGACAAAACAATGCCTCTCGCTGTCTCTTGCATTCAGCAGCCCCTGTCAGAGTGTTTAAGATTGGTGAATAAAGGGGGCAACTTTCCATAGAAATTGTTGTGCTGCATCAGTGGGAGAGTATAACAAGGTAATTTAGTATTATCAATTAAGTTGATAATGTAAATTGGCCACTGTAAGGAACCGAAGCATTAGCCCTTTGTCAGAGCAAATGTGGAAAGCCTAATGCTCAGAATGTCAGCTTTGAAACTCTTTACAGTGACCAATTAATTTTAGCAACTCAGTTAATAACACTAAATTACCCTATTTAACTTGGGCTATGGGCCAACCTCCCCACACTGTTACAGATTACCCCTGGGTAGTTTCAACATTATCTAAACAAGATGCTACTAAAACCATTCTCTCTTAAGAATAAACAGTTTTGCAGATTAACAAAACATCTTGAGGCTAATAATACTCAGGCAGTCAAGGAACAAGAGGTAAACATTTAGAAAAGAAAACACCTGAGCATAAATAACATTTCATAAAAATCATTACACTTACTTTGATTTCATTAATCATGAATTAAAATTTCCATTCATTATTATTAATGCCCCTGTTAACAAAATTTTGTTCATTAACCTTCCATGTGTAAATTTCAATGAGCTGTCTTCATCTTTGCTTTGATATGATGTTGAAAACTTGTAAACCTATACATTCATTTGATTAATTTGACTATCTGAGCCCAACTTACATATTTCCATACAATGCTGATGAAGTCTGTTATGGCAACCATCTTGGCAACTTGTCAAGCTTTCCCCCTCCACCATTTCCAATAAGCAAATTGGGCACACCTCTTCATCTTCACGTGCCTGGGGTAACCCTCCCAAACTGTTTGTACAAGGTGTTGTTGGTGGTGTGCTTCTCTGGCCCTTGGCTCGAGATGTTTTCTGTGCATTCATGTCCTTTTGTAAACGTGACTTCACTCGAGCATGGAACTTGGAGAGCAACTTCTCCACCTAGTGAGAATTTTGGAGTAGAACAATAGCTTAAATCAACCTCACTTAGACCAACCTTCATTCTGAAGAGCTAAAGTTGTTAAGTTCACATCACAAGTTCGAGACAGTAGTGCTCAAATCAATTTCATTTTGGCATAATACTGATGAGTTCTAAAAGCAAAGTAAAATTCTCCTAACATGGGGCCTTATTTTTTCCCACAAAATTAGCCTCTTGTAGGAAAAAATTTCAAGCTTCAATCTAGATTTCCCTTGTGTAAAGAAAACATTTTTTCATGCAAGTTCTTGTTCCTATTACCTTTAAATTGTAAAAGATTAGGAGATTCAGAAACAGTTGCTACAGCTTGAACTACAATGGCTTGAAAGGCAAGATTATAACCTTTAATTTGTACCTCAAAGTTTTTCAATTTTTGAGTCCATAACAGAGGATCATTTTCTTTGAGTTTGAAGACTCTAAGCATCACAAAAAGAAGGTGGACACAATGTGGCCTTGTGCAAGTACAACTCTGAAAATAAAAGACATAGTTTTACATTAATATCATAAAGACCACAGAGGTGAATTGAACTAAGAAATATGTTAATTGCTGAAAGGTAGCTTGTAACTGTGGTTGGAAACTGTAGAGGTGCACATTCACTGTTTTGGGTCAAACTAACTGA